GCTCGATGTTTTTTATGCCGTTAGCTGCAACAAGTATTTAGACGTGCACTGGTTGTTATATGATCTCCCCCCTTCTGGGTTACATATGTTCACCTCTGCAGAATTCTTTTTATCCCCAGCAGCAATAAAATTTATCTATTTATTTGTTTGTTTCAAATCTTTAATCATTCATTTACTTGGTTTACTCTTTACTCTTTGATCCCAGAATGTGCTGTAAAATGTTTCAGCTTACTACAGCAGTCATGCACTGTATATGCCAAGGGCTTTTAATGTGAAGGATAAGGAGAGAAAGCCCTTTTTTGTGTGGATCTGGCAGCGCTACCATTTGCAATACTGGAAAAAAGGTTGCAGAATAGAAAGGAACAGAATAAAACAAAGCAATATATTAATACAATTAAAAATGAGTGAGGAAGATAAGAGAGGTACAATGAGTACAGACAGAGGCTAAATGCCTTTAATTTGTGGATACTGCAACCAAAAAATAAAACAAGTGATTTAATCAACTGTAGAAATCTTTAAGAGCTGGATAATTAATTCACCTGCATCACTGCCTGGTGTAGGATTTCATTTAAATGTCACACTTTCACCTAGTGTAAGTTTTTTTATTGTTTTAATGGTTTCCCTGAAACTACTTAATCATTTTAAAGCACTCAGGAGAAAGCGGTACGATTCCCTTACAATAATCTCCCAGGTCATAAACGTCCGGCTCGGTCACCAACGACATTTACCAAAAAGCAGACCTACAACAATACATTTATCTTTTCCCACAGGGAACCAACAGCAGATAAGAAGAGAGTGTGTTTAAAAAGCACTTCAGTCATTTTACAAGATTAATAAGCTTCAGAGTGTGTAAGGAGTTATTTGGAGGTTTAATGGAGTTTCCTTTGTGCTGTCTCACACGTAACAGTCACAAACAAGCTGCTCTCATTATGTTGGGTTTATACAAAAGATACAAATAGTCAATCAAATGAAGCACAAATAATGGTTATTTAATAACCATGTCAGGATCAGTTAATCTGCTTTGGAGTGAAACTGTGTCAGAAGGACACTGTGTTATGTGTAAAAGTGAAACTTTCCAAATGAGTCTCAAATGTGACTCTGAACACGTCACCGTAACACGGAGTAGAATATAGGAGGTCAAGCGGTTCAAAGTCTTGACCAAAAACAAGATACAACTGGACTCGGCACGCTAAGCTGGACTTTTATTTTGAAGGATTTTCCATTCCCCAACGAGAGCATACCTCAATTACATGATTTATCTATTAGTGTGAATGTTTGAATTCATCCCATTCCTTACAGCATGTAGGCACGTTGCAGAAAAGAGACATCAGAAAACAAACACCTTGCTGTATATAGTATAATTTAATTTTTCTACAACCACAGTTTCTAAAAAGTTGGGATGCTGTGTAAATTGTAAATAACAACATCCTATATTTTATTCAAAATAAAACAAAGTATCAAATATTTAAACCATTTAAAGAAAAATCTTGGCTCATTTTGAATTTGATGGCAGCAACATGTCTCAAAAAAGTTGGGACAGGGCCGCGTTTCCCACTGTGTAGAGAAATCTCTGCTTTTAACAACACTCTGTAAACAACTGAGGAGAGCAGCTGCTGGACTTGTAGAAGAGAAATGTTCTCCCATTCTGGTCTGATATAGGACTCTAGCTGTTCAACAGTCCTCTGTCTTCTTTGTCGTATTTTTAGTTTCATGGTGCTCCTGGACTGCTGGCTGGTCAGTTCACATACTGCATCTATTCTGTGCTATTCTAATAGAAACTCTCTGCAGTTTAGCTGAAAAAGTCATTGTCTGGATGGGAGCATATGTTGATCTGTAGACTATATGCACCTTTCAGTAGCAAATGTAGGTGTGCCGGTAGATTTTCCAGATGTTTAAGCTGCCAGTTCAATTGGCACAAAGGCGTGAGATATGAAGATAAAGACAGAGA